CAAGTCCTGTCTAATGTAAGGACCCACCCCACTTTGCATCTTAAGAAGACAGAACTCTTGGAATAATTCTTCCAACAGGAATCCTTTATTAAGAGAAAATGGTTGCAGGCATGCTAGACAGGACTTGGGGTCCAAGCTCTCCCATTCAAGGTTTTAAGGGGTTCCCCAGTAGTCCCACCCAATCAACCCCCCTTCCAGTGATAGTTTCAAGTATCACAATTCCACTCCATTTCTTCTTTCTTCCGTCTGGATGGAGACTTCAGATAACTACATGAAAGGCAATTACTCTCCTTTGGTATGCTAACACTTCGAGGTTACAATAAACACACATTCAGCATTTAGCTCTTTGAAGTGTAAAGAAGGAAGTGAGGGCCATAAAGCCCCTTTGTTCTCCCCCTTCTCTCCCTCTTATGGCAGAATCCAGAGAAGGCAGAATTGGGAGTTTCTATATTTGATAATTTAAAGATGAAATATAATTGGATTCTGACATCGCTTTTATTTTTGAATGTTTGATTACCCAAACACCACGGTGTGTCCTGAGTACTTTCTCTTAAGAATTAAAAAACCAGTAAAATGTGCTACAAAAAAAAAGTAGCATAAAAGAACAGAGCCATTTATTTCCTTATAGTTGAAAGTGAGCCCTTTGGACTGTGCCAGAACAATGAAAATTTAAAAATTTGCTTTCAGTTCAGAAATAAAATTCACAAGCTGGCATATTTTAGGACTTTTTTTCCCATTTATAAAAATCTTCATTTTCCATTAAAAAATGAAACAATGAATTATATACTTTGGTAACTTTCTTGCATAGGGTCAATACCTGTGAATATAGGATGCTTTCTATCAAATTAAATGTTTGCTTCATAGAATCCTTTTCATTTCACTGAGTAGTGATGTTTGGACATTTTCAACAATGGATTCAATAAATTAGATCCTCAATGGGGTGCTTCCTCTGATACTCTTTAACCTATTTATACTAGTCCATCCAATATTACAATAATAAATTGCAATCTGAGATGCTAGAAAACCACAATATTAAGATGTTCCCCATGCTTAGGGGAAGAAATCCTGTCATATAGGGCACTTAAAATACATCTTCTAGATGTATCTTAAAAGTGAGTTGTCTATTTCAGGACTCATGCATAAATGCTAGTTTCAAAGATGGCATCACTTTCTTATTCCTCTCTCCCATTTTTTTAATTTGCTGATTGGCTATGATTAAATCCTTATTCTCTCTGTCAATCCATGAAACCGGTAAGTAGTTATAAGCAGCAGGCAAGCAGCATTGGTGACAAGAGATGGTCCTGGATTTCTTTGCTTCTCACTTACTCAAAATGAAGTACTATTGTTCTTTCCCTGCTTTGTTCATCAAGACCAGCTACGTTGTGCCCCAGTTCTAATCCTTCTACAAAAAAGGAGACTAATGTACTTCTTCTCTTCCTCCTCTCTACTTGCTGTATTAAAGTATGCAGGTCCTATTCAGTAAATACAGAGCTGCAATCTTTTTCGCCTTCCAAACATAACATTTATTATATACAGTATGCTATAGCTGGCTAAGCTTTTGGAGCTGAATTTTTTCTGCAACTCCTCAAGGCAAAAGGCAGCAGAAAGATTTTCTCTGCTTCCTTGCTTCTATACCTCTACTCTTCAACCTGAACTCAAGCTAAGCATTTTAAAAGGGATAGAGATTGGACAGCAGGAGTTTAGTTTTTATACCTAATTGGGGGGAGGGAAAGGTTAAAAAGTCCATCCCTATGAAGTTTTTGTCTGTTTATTGAAGAAGTATGACTTTCTAGGGCAGGGAGGGGGTTAAAGCAAGGGAAAGGTTTTGGGAAGCTTTCTGGGGGAGAGAGGAGGTTAAAGCAAGGGAAAGCGTGTCCTGAAGCTGCTGCTTTGCATACAAGGATTGGCTTCCTAAAACCTTGCAAGAACCAGGAGAGGCTTGTAATTTCTCTCTAGCCAGGAGATCAGTGGCCAGCTGATAGAACTGAAATATTGAAACATTGAGAAGTCCTCACTGGCACTACATTCACATGGAGAGACGTAAGCAGTGGGATACCACAAGGTTCCACCTTAGGCCCAGTATTCTTCAATATCTTCATAAATGACTTAGATGAGGGAATTGAAGGGGAACTCATCAAATTTGCAGATGACACCGAACTGACAGGAGTAGCCAACACCCCAGAAGGCAAACTCAGGATCCAAGAAGATCTTGACAAACTTGAACAATGGGCCATCCCCAACAAAATGAGTTTCAATGTGAGAAAAGCAAAGTCTTACATTTAGGCAGAAAAAAAACCAAAGGAACAAATACAGATTGGGCAAGACCTGGTTTAAAAACAGTAATTGTGAGAGGGACCTTGGAGTCCTAGTGGACAATCACTTGACTATGAGCCAGCAGTGTGTAGCAGCAACCAAAAAAGCTAGTACAATCCTGGGTTGTATAAACAGAGGCATAGAATCAAGATCACACAAAGTATTATTACTGCTTTATAAAACCCTAATAAGACCATACCTCGAATACTGCAGCCAATTTTGGTCACCTTATCACAAAAAAGATGTTGAGAGTTTGGAAAGAATTCAGAGAAGAGCTACTAAGATGATCAAAGGCCTGGAGACTAAAACATATGAAGAATGGTTATGGGACTTGCGTTTGGCTAGTCTAAAGAAAAGAAGAAATAGGGGAGACATGATAGCAGTGTTCCAGTAACTGAGGGGCTGCCAGAAGGCGGAGGGGGCCAGGTTGTTCACTAAAGCACCAGAGGGAAGGACGAGAAACAATGGTTGGAAACTGATCAAAGAGAGAAGCAACCTGGAATTAAGGAGAAACTTCTTAAGAATGAGGACAATCAACCAGTGGAACAGCTTACCCCCAGAAATCGTGGGCGCTCCATTACTGGAGATTTTCAAGAAGAGACTGGACATTCACCAGTCTGAGATGGTATAAGTTCTCCTGCTTAAGCAGGGGGCTGGACTAGAAAACCTCCAAGGTCTCTCCCAGGTCTATATTCTATATTCTATTCTAATCTATTCTATTCTATTCTATTCTATTCTATTCTATTCTATTCTATTCTATTCTATTCTATTCTATTCTATTCTATTCTATTCTATTCTATATTGGCCTAGTGTGATTGGACACAAAAGGAATTTGTCTCTGGTACATAAGCTCTCAGTGTGCATACAAACAACCAAGTAAGTTATAGATCAAAAATCATAAGAAACCATCATAATTCATAAGATACAAACAAGTAATAAATGATAAGATACCAATATGAGAAGGTAGTAGAAAAGAGAAGAAAATGAGAAAGATAAGAAGGATAATAGCAATACAGCCCTACTATATAGGTAAATATCTTTAGGCTTAAGACAATGCTGTTTAACAGAGTAATTTTGGGGAAGAAAACTTTCTTTGTATCTATTTGTTTTGGTATGCAGTGCCCTATAGAGGCAACCTGAAGGGAGAAGTTGAAAAGGTTTATGTCCAGGATGTGAAAGCTCTGAAAGGCTAGGGAACTAGTCCGTTTTTTGTCCCAGAAAGTAAGGGAATTTTGGCAGTAGGAAGGGTGGGAGCAAAATTAGGAAAGCAGGTCTACCCAGCATTTTTCTTCACCAGTTTTTATCTCTGGCAAAATAGTTAGCTGTGTGGCAAGTCAGAGAGTGGGGAACATGGGTATCTCAGGGAGGTAGAGGCCTTGGAAGGCCTGAGGCGGGTGGGCTTGTGCCTAAACTAGGTCTCCAGGATGTCCCCAACAGCCAAGCTACACTTAACAATACATGCCTTAATAAATGCACTGGGGAGAGCAGGGATAGGTAGTCATTACTTGAGGCAATTCCACCTAAATATACAAGGTCCATTACGGTCGTAACTCGAGGACTATCTGTAATAAATCTCCATACATAATGCTCCCTCCTATTTTTGCCCCACAACAATAACGCTCTGAGGTAACTGGCTGAGAATGACTGGGCTTGTTACCCAGTGAGTTCTGTGGGTGAGGGTAGAATACAAACTGTGGAAGCACAAATGTAAGGAAGCAAGACAATATAGCCAAAGTTAAATCGTATCTATATGCATAATTTCTCTTGTATTTAAACAGAAGAACACCTTTTTTGGTCTAAGGAATGCCTCTATCTGAGTAAATTTGGGGGTGTGAACTTCAAAACGTGACGTACAATGGCAACTAGGGTTGGAATTTCCATTGTTAAATGATTTGGTCATAAAGTTGCATCCACATAATTTAGCAACAGCAATGTCTGCAGTCCTGGTTGCTGTTATTAATCAAAAGCTATAGTTGTTTGGCGAAGCAATTTCCTGCCAGCTTCCCACAAGTCAGTAGAGAAGCCAGCTTAAGTTTCCAATCCCAAGCAGCTTGCAAGCAAGCCAGCAAACTGATAAGTGACAAGCGGCAGGGGAAGGGTAAAGGGGCTACATGAGGGTGACAGGGAGACAAGCTTTGGGGTGCATGCATGGGGGTATTCTAGAGTATAAAGGAGATGCAGAGCAATGATCTTGTTGGGTATGGGTGCAAGAATACATAAATAATCAGTGCAGCACAAAAGCAAAGAAACTGGAGAAGAGTATACAGGTGGAAAAGACTTCCTTCACTGACTTTCTGGGGAAGCTGATAAGGAAGGTTGCAAATGGCAATCACATGATTGAGGGAGCTATAACTAAGACTGTAAAAATCGATTTCCAAGCACCCAGATCGTGATCCCAAGACCATGAGGATGCCTAGATGGCTAGAATTCCAAGAATTGGTTGTAACCATCTTTTATTTAGCACTGTCTTTACTTTGAATGGTCACTAAATTAATGCTTGTAAGTCAAGAACTAGCCATAATTGTTAAAAAAATTAGCTTGGTTTATCTGTGTTTAATTATAACTAAAATTAAATTAAACCCTTTAGATTTAGTTAATATACAAGAGTGTACACGTAAATTGACATTCTGTTCTTGTTTTCGATGAAAAACAGGAAAACATTATTATGCAATATTAGAGGAAAATACCTGTAACCAAATCACCACTTGGTCCATGCCATTCAAATATTGGGTCGATCAATTCTGAATTTCTCAGATGATTTGTTAAACACAGAATATGTGGACTGTTATGATGCTGCCTGACATAAACTTTGACTGAAAATATAATTTAATTAATATTTGTTAAAAGAAAGTACATAAAAATAAAATGCATTTAAAATAACAATTATCCAAGTAAAGCTATGCTACTTTCAAGATTTATACATTTACTTAGAAGGTAATCCAATTAATTTCAAGAAAATTTGCTTGTAAGTAATTCAGGATTGCGTGAAATAGATTTAATTGGCATACATGAAGAATATATATGTTTAGACTTTCAGATATAAGATGTCTGTTATAACTAGCAAAGTTATATCTTTAGTTATGGCATCTCAATAATTAAATGTTACATTAAAAAATAATGCTCACATTCCATTCTTCTATGAGACTGATAGATAAGCCAGGATTCACATTTTTAGCTATAGAATCATAGAGCTGGAAGGCACCTTGGGGGTCTTTTAGCCCAACCCCCTGCTCAGGGCAGGACTCCTTATACCATCCCCAAAAAATGGTTGTCCAATCCTTTCTTGAAAACTTCCATTGATGAAGCATCCACAACTCCGGGGGGCAAGCTGTTCCATTAATTGTTCTGACAGGAAATTTCTTTGTTCCAAATTGAATCTCTCTTTAATTAGCTTTCACCCATTATTTCTTATCTTGCCATCAGATGCTTTGGAGAATAAGTCAACTCCTTCTTCTCTATGACTATCCATCAAGTATTGCAAGATAGCTGTCATGTCACCCCTAATCCTTCTCTTCATTAGACCAGACATATCTAGTTTCCTCCACTGTTCATTGCATGGTTTAACTCCCAAATCTCTATCATTTTTGTTACTCCTCTCTGAAGAACTGGATGCAGCATTCCAAGCATGGCTTTATTACTATAATGTAGAGCAGCACTATGATTTCAATGCTGTCCTTCTGTTGATATAGCCTAAGATTGCTGTAGTTTTTTTGGCAGTTGCAGCTCATTGTTGGCTCATACTTAAATGATTGTTCATGTGGACATCTAAAGCTCTCTCACAGTTACTGCTATTGAGCCAAGTACCATCTATTCTGTACCTGTTTTTGATTTTTCTTGCTTAAGTGCAGGACCTTACTTTTATCATCACTGAACTGTATCCTATTTTGGATAGGACCCAATGCTCAGGTCTGTCAAGATTCTTCTAAACTGCAAGTCTCTCTTTCATGGTGGTAGCAATTCCCTCCACTTTGATGTCATCTGCAAATTTAATGAGCTACCCTTCTATCCCCACTTCTAGATCATTTATTAAGATGTTGAAGAGTACTGCCCCCAAAATAGAATCTGAAGTATCCCACTGCATACTTCTCTCCATATACAGTAAACGCAGCTCCACTGAAGACTATAGGCTGAATGAAGTTGGTCAACCATAAATCCATCGGGCGATAGTATCGTCTTATCCCACATTGTTCTATCTTACTAAGAGGTAGGCAATGATCTATTCACATTGTTTTTATACTATCAAGAAGTAAGCTGTGCTCTTCTTTGTCAAATGCATTATTGAAGTCTCAGGGTGGATTTGATTTAAATCAAGTCGATTTAAATCATGATTTAAATCGTGATTTAAATTTAAAGTAAAAAAAGGCTTAATTTAAATCAACTAGATTTAAATCATAATTTTTAAAGAACAACTGTCATCTCAGTCCCGCAGTGGCTCCTCTTCTGACCCGCTGTTGACTCACTGACAGTCCCATTCACTTTAATGGGATGGATGGTGATGCGGCAGTGACACAACAAGGTGAGGGACATGGCGGGCAGGTGGATGGATGCCCACTAACAGATGGACTCATTCTTCCTTAATATTATTTGCAAACAAAATGAAGGTTTCCTATTTAGAATAATAAGCTGTCAGGTTAGTAAAATAGCAATATCAGAATCAATTTTAGGTTAATAACTAATCAAACATACCATGTTTCCCCCAAAATTAGACCTACCCTGATTTTTTGAGGTGGGCCTAATATAAGCCCCACCACAAAAATAAGCCCTAGTCAGGACCCTGTCCAGTCCGTTCCACCTCACTGCCGCAATGGGGCAGGAGAGCACGTGTCACACTGCTGCCGCCACAATGAGGTAAAGCAGATGGGTGAGGGAGTGGAGCTTCAGGGCACCCTAGCCAGGCCATTCTTTGCTTGGCAACAATCCCTTTCACTCCCCTCCCAAGCCGGACTACCATGCTATGGAGGATGGGCGGGATAGGCCTGGTCCCCCTCCACCGTTTCAGAGCCGGGGGGGAGTCATGGCGAAAGGCTCCGCTGCCGCTGTGCACCACTGGAGGGCTTTCTTCACATTTCACCCCACAGATCATCTGCCCAGCAGCAGCCAGCTCTTCCTACTCCACCAACTATCCCGTGGCTTGCACCGTGACCAGGCAGTACAGGCCTCCCCTGGCGCCTCCCTGCGCCAGCACTCTGTCTTCACTACTGGAGAGAACGGAGAACAGAGAGTGCCTCTGTGCAGCGATGCAAAGCAGAGAAGAGTACTTGCTTGCCACCCTGCATCGCCCTGTGTCTCCCTTCTCCGTTCTGGAAATAGCAGTCCCATTTCCTGGCGCTTTTTCTCCTGGTGCTGCTGTAGAGCCAGCTCCTCTCTCTTCCTGAAAGCTTTTCTTCATTAACCTGCTTTCCAGATCTGGCACGTTTCTTTCCTGGTGCAGGGAAACAGAATTTGTGGGACTAAAAAAAGTTCAGTCAGACCTTTAAACTTCTCACTTTTTTTTGCGAGAAGTTGGAAGGTCTGACTGAACTTTTTTTAATCCCACAAACTCCGTTTCCCTGCAGAAGGAGAAAAATGTACCACAGCTGGAAAGCAGGTTAGTGAAGAAATGCTTTTGGGAAGAGAGAGGAGCTGAGTGGTGGTGCACCAAACTCTGCAGCAGCACCAGGAGAAGCGGCAGGAAATGGGGCTGCCATTTCCAGAACAGAGAAGGGAGACACGGGGCGATGCAGGGCTGCAAGCAAGTACTCTTTTCTACTCTGCATTGCTGCACAGAGACGTTCCCTTCCCCGTTCTCCGTTCTCTCCAGTGGTGGTGACAGAGGGCTGGCAGAGGGAGGCGGCGGAAGGCTTGCACTACCTGGTCATGGCGCAAGCCACAGGAGAGTTGAAGAAGGTGGCGGCTGCCACTGGGCAGATGATCTGTGGGGCAAAGCACGAAGAAAGCACCTCCAGCGGCACACAGCAGCAGCGAAGCCTTTCGCCATCAGTCCCCCACCAACTCCAAAACGGCAGAGGGGGACCGGACCTACCCCACCCATCCTCCATGGCATGGCAATCCGGCTCAGGAGGGCAGTGAAAGGGAAGGTCACCCAGTATTGAATGGCCTGGCTGGTGGGGACCTGAAATAAGCAGGTGCGGGTCGGGTGGGGCAGCTCCATCCCCTCCCTCCTGCCTTGCCTTATTGTGGCGGCAGCGGTGCAATGTGCCACGCAGTCTCCTTCCCTGAGCAGCTGCAGAAGTGGGCTGGCAGCCACGCAGGCACCTGCTGGAAGGGGCTGTTGGTGCCACTAACGCAAGGCGAGGCAGGTGTCACAAAAAATATAAGACATCCCCCCAAAATAAGATCTAATGTCTCTTTTGGAGGCAAAAATAATATAAGACCGGGTCTTTCTTTCGGGAAAACACGATAGTTGGAGAACTATTCAAATTCTTTTATTTAATTAAAATACTTAGAGCTTAGTACAGATGCATTTTTCTTCAAACAATCATTCAGTTTGTAGTGTACATAGATTTGCAAAACAGTGGTCTAAAAGAATATTCCTGAACTTTATTTTATGATTTATCTCATGGTTACTGTGAAATTGTGTGAATGCATCAATACAGTGCATGTTATCTCAGCTTGCAAAATTTGGAAATGAGTTTACCAAAAATGTAAACATTACCGAATATATAGCCTCATGCTACATAACTAAACTCCATTTCATACTGAATAAACTAAATTATTAATGTATCTTAAATAGAAAACTATATTTGAATTTTTACTCCAAAAGCATTTTATTAAAATAAATTTAAAAAAATAAAAAATCCTATTTAAATAAAAAAAATCCGATTTTTAATTTTTTTTTAAAAAAATCATTGATTATTATCCACTCTGTAAAGTCTAAGTATATTATATTCGCACCATTTCCTTGATCTACTAATTTAGTCACTTTATCAAAGAAGATAATAAAGCACAATCTGTTTTAAACAAACCCAGGCTGGTTTTTAGTAATCATCTTTTTCATTTGTAGGTGCTCACAAATCCACCACTACTGGATCTGATTGCAGATTCATTGCTTGATTATCTTTTTCAGGATTTCCCCAGATACTGATGTCAAGCTGATTTTTCTATAGTTTTCTGGTTTCACTTTTTTTCCCTTTTGAAAATTGTACCACATCGGCTCTTTTCCAGTCTTTGACAGTTCCTCTATGCTCCAGGACCTCTAAATTTTTGTTCAATAGTTCCGAGATCACATCAATTGGCTTCTTTAGAATCCTGGGATGTAAATCATCTAGTCCCAACAATTTAAACTCATCTAAAATGGATAGGTATTCGCTTAGTAAATTTTTCCTTATTTGGATCTGCATTCCTGTCTCCCATGGTGCTGCTTTTGATAGGCTGGACTAAATTTTTTCTTTTTTCATGAAAACTGATGCAGAGAAGGAATTAAGCATGTCCACTTTCTCCCTACTGTCTGTCACCATCTTGTCATCCTCTTCCACTAGTGGATAGATCATTTCCTTGATTTTCTTCTTATTTCTTTCATATTAAAGAAACCTGTTTTGTTATTTTTGGCATTTGTTGCAAGTCTTACTTCATTCTCTGAGCCTAACGTTTCCTGCAACTTCAGCGGCCTGAAGTGTAAGGGTGGAGATCTTACACATTCAGACTATTTGTTGGTATTCTGTTCTTAGTATGAGCTCTTCTTTCCATTTTTATACTTCTTTTAGTATCTTGGTTTGTCAGAGCACTCCTTGCTGAACCACACTGATTTCACCTGGTCCCTTGTTTTACTTTCTCTATTTGATTGGCTTTTTAAATCTCATTTTCAATGTTTCCC